AATCGTAGTGATAAAGGAGTTTTTCACACCACAGCCTCTAAAATATGTAGAAAATGTTTTCTTTGCCTCAGTAGCAAGTCAGTGAAACAGCTGGGTCAAGACAAGTTAAAATTCATTTCCAAGCATGCTTTGACTGTCAAAACGTTATAGTCAGCTAATGTCACACTATGATGTAGTAGTCTGCCAGAGTAATACTGTACTAAACCATAAATATAAACTGAAAATGTGCTTTAATTAATCTTTTTCTTAAAGAGGGCTATTTTACTTCTCTGGGCTAACACAACATATTTAGATCACCATGTTACATTTTGTTGTTTGGAAAATCCTATATTCCCCGAAAAGAATATACTAACATGTTTTATAAGTTTCACTTTCATTTTTGATACTTTGATTCTCCCCTCCTTTGCTCTCTATACTAACATACAAGTTAATGATTGGAAAGAGGTAGTTTGGGACCAATGGCTCTTTGGATACTGAAAAACATCAACTTTTCATGTAGCTTTTTATTGACTTATCTCTTATTTATTGGTCTATCTGTATTCTGTATTCTGAATCATCTTTGCATTCTCTAACACAAGCTGTCTCACCTTATTATTACGCATTATTCTTTCAGTAAATATTGCCCCATGCTACTGTGACATGCGGCTTTACCTGCTGAGGAGTTAATAACGCCGCTCTTATCTTTAACTACACATAGCTGCACGACATTTTCTATAAAAACACAATTTAGCTGTGGACTCTGAAGGAAATTATGGCTTCAAAACTGCAGTCTGGTCTTGTGGAAGATAAATACAGCAATTATTGGAAATTTCATGTCTGACTTCTTTTATCCAATTCAAATAGACTTATGCATTAGGCTCACTCACTGCTGGCGCCTTTGTTTTCAGATAAAAACAAAGCGCTTTTTAGCATTTTTACACTACATGTCACTAGTCGCTTTCCACAAAAATACATAACAAATAATCAATAAAAGCATTAACTCACTAGTGTTGTAACAAAACTCACTTCTAATTACCAAGATGATAATTAAAAAAAAACACTACACAATAGAATGTAATTTTCAGCATTAAATCATAGTACTTTCTTTATATTTGGTCTGTAGCTGTGTAATCCCTCAGTCGTCCAGGCAGGTTCCATAGTGGTCCATGGGCGTATCCTACTCGATACCAAAAATACAATACCCAAATTCTGTTCAATGCTACAACTAGTATTGAAATATATATATTTACTCTATATACTTATTTGAAAAATTATCAGTAATGAAAACATAACTTAAATAGCCTGTTTCCTGAATAGTTTTGTTGCCTTGATCTATGAAAAACTACAAAATAAAAGAAGCAACAATAACTTCAGTATTGCGAACTCAACCTTGTTCTTAGTAGGAAAATCAAGTTTTAGTATTGTTCCATCATTATGTAGAAAAACAACTGATTGTGAATGGTGGTATGCAGATATGCAGAGAGCCGCCTGGGAACAAAGCAGTTATTGTCAGCTGTGAGAACTCGCATAGTTTAGAGTTTGTCATAACATACAAGCTGCATGACATGGGCCACAATGACCGCCAACAGACTGACGGATAGAAATGCAATGGTGACAAAAGGCTCAGGTTACTGCATCGTGGTGGTTTACAGGTTTGCATGCAAGCTATAATCACACAAAAACTTATGGGCAAAGCAAAAGTTAAAATCTGATGCATTTTTAAACTTTAAATTAACTTTCATTCCCCTGTTCTACTGTTAAGTCTACAATGTACAGTCAAAAGGTTGGACACACCCTCTCAATCAATGTTTTTTTTTCTTTATTTTCACTACTATCTACATTTTATATACAGAAGAAATCAAATATATCCTAATACTACTATTTTTTTTTTATTTTATATTCAAATCCTCAAGGTATCTGCCCTACCTTTTTTTTACTACATAACTTCATATATCTTGTTTCATATATTTGATGTCTTCTGTATGTATTTAAATGTAGAAAGTAGTAAAAAAAATTAATTTAACGAGAAGGTGTGTCCAAACTTTTGACTGGAACTGTAGTTAAAATAGCACTGTGTGTGTTATACTCCAACATAAACTAACCAATGTAACAGTGAGATCAAACATGATTCTTGGCCATTTCCTGGGGTACAACAACCAATTAGCATATGCCTCTGATTATGTAACTGGGACAAAACACAAAACAAAACAGCCATGTGATGTTTATGAGAACTATTGTTGAGGGCTGTCAATGGAACAGTGTGGGGTTTAGTTTAAATGCGTGGGAATGGCCAGGCTTATTTACCTCAAATTAAAGCAGCTGCATTACCTGTTTTACAAAAAGGAGTAAGTACGTTAATCTAACTACAAGCTCTCTTTGGCACATTGCTTGTAGGCTATTAATACAAATTTTTGGCTATGCGCACAGCTTTAGAAGAGCTTTTTTTACTCAGCAGGGTGGACAGCCAATGTGGTATCAATCCTACACTGCTTATGGCTCCAGCTTCCTGGTTTGGAATAGATAAAATCGTTCTACCCCAGTTTCAATAATAGTTAATGAACATAATGCTGCCAATGCAATATATGAAAACTTTCAAGAGGCTACAAGGAAGGTACTATATTGTCTATTAAACAACAGTTCTTTTTATGCTTTTCTCTTTTGTTTATACCTGCTTAACATGTTTCAGCAGCTTCCTGTACAGTACACCGACTCAAAAAGGAAAAATCTGACCTTTCACAACCTTTCTCTTGCAGTGTCCACCTGTTTTAATAGCATTTCAAATGGTGCAGTAATCCAAGTGAACTTGTGTGTAGGCTGAATATACCATGCATATGTTAAATAAACCCCAACAAAGGAAGCAGGGCCCCCAATTTGCTCTAGTTGGATCAGTTAATGCGATGATGAATGAGCCACGAAACTTCCAGGCTGCCTGCGTCTCTTTGTGTGAGTCTGTGTACACACAAGAAGCCAATGCAAAACTAAAGGCCTGGAGTTAGACTGGTCAAAACAGGGCATCCGCCAGCTGCCTTAACAGGGCAGGGAGGTCAAAATGTGGACAGTGGTGGGACAATAGACAGCAAGGGTAGAAATCAATAAAGAACAGGAATTGATTGGGAACATTTAGTGGAGGAATGAAGGATGAGGCGTGCCACTGGTGATGTATGGCTGCTCTAGTTCTCAGCAATGACAGAGAGAGGCACTGAAGAAGTCATGAATCAAACAAAGCAAACTATATGACACTAATCCTTCCTTATGTAAATGTTTTTAAGAAGAATAACTGTATAGTGAATTTACAATATGATAAGTATGTTTACATATTTTAGTGTATGTTTCCTTGGGTTTTTCTTGAAGACATTAAAGCAAATACCATTTTTAGAAAGCAGTGATTTCACTTTTTTGTGCCCTCTCATGCAACCCTCTTCAGTCAATCTATGAATACTTAACCTCACAAGCAAAACAGATCATTAACTACAATAAATACAATCTACAATGCTGCCATAAGATGATTAGAAAGAAGCCAAAGACAAACTGATATGATAAATCAATGTGAATTAGCTTTGCAATACAAATTTCAATATTGTGTGGAACCCTGGACACAATTTAAGAAGATAATATCTTGAAAGACATAAAAAGAACTTCAAATGGTTTCCTCAATAATTGCACGTGGTGACCTTTGGATGATTGAAGATAAGCTGCCACCAACCTGGCAATTTCTCATGCCTTTGCAGATAAGAACGTAAAGCCCAGCAGGTGCACAATCAACGCACACAAATTGTTACAGGATAAAAAAGAGGACCTGAAACACTGCTAGCATTAATAAAAAAGAGACATAAACCATTGCACTAACAACACAGTGGCTCTAAGGTGCATTCTCTGCTTCTGGACTTAGCAACGGGGAAAAATATATGGATGAAACCTAGAGAGTCTCATTTTTCACAGGAACCATATAAGTTTCACGGTGTTATTTCATTCAAGGGGTGTGACAGAAATACTGAAAAGCACCACAGTAAATCGCCTGCAGCATGGGGCATGCTGAAATGACCAGTGACTCAATACTCACTCACCTGCCTCTCCACTCCCTGAATAATGATATTAACAAACAGACTACATCAGGTATAGTTTCTATAAAATTTACTATATATAGGTGAAGAATGACTATAATAACCAATAGCCTACAATAGTGTTTAAAGTGTACTCTGCAGCAAGTAAATCCCCGGTTTTGATCATTTCAGTACTGTCCACTTATAGCTACAGTACAATGTATAGAAATAGCAGGAGGGTCCCTCAGAAAATAGTGGTTTATGTGGTCATGTAAGCCCAGACATGACCTGCCACTGATGCATTATGCTTAAGCCGGTGGTGATCACATCATATATTTTTAATCCAGCGACAAAAAACAGAGGCTTTTGAAGGGGATCATCTGCAATGCGTAGCCAACCAGCGCTGCCAAGCCAAAGCATTATAGGCCTATGCCTCTACTACTGTTTATAAAAATAACCATACGTAAAGAAGTAGGAAATAATGGAGAATATAAACATTTGTATAAAGGCATTTAATAATACAGAATACTGCTACAGAGTTTTTATAAATTATTTCAACTGGTGGAATAGAGAGAACGATCTGGAACCAAGAATAGACTGGATGATACGAGAGGTCATTTGGTGAGCTTGAATTATTTTTAACGTGAAGAATTAACAGTTCCAAAATAAATGTGGCCCTCGTATAATATAGTGTATGTAACCTCCTATTTATGTGCTTAGCCTGATGATAAATTAAAATGTTAAATTGCAGCGAGATGCACTTGCTGCGGACTGGCCACTCTGCCACATCCTTGCGCAGCGGACCATCCCTGAACAGGTTCCTGAACACGCATCCCAGTTTCGACCCAATAATACCAGCGCCAAGGTCATAATAACGCAGTTTATATCACTGTTATAGCAGAAATGTCCTCCGCGCTGCTATCCCACAGGACAACAGGCTAACCCAAGAGACAAGGCTATACAAATCTCCAGCTTAGTTACCTTTAGCCGCCTGCGCCGCGCATAACAACAGTCCGAGGACCAGTCCAGCGGATGCAAAATGTTTATTCCCTCGGAACCGCATCCCGACTTCGAGTTTGAACCGCGGCGAAGTGGAAACCGATGCCTCCTTCTCTCTTCTCCCCCTTCAGTCAGGATAGATGTGCCGTTTATAAACCAGAAGAATAAATCCGGGAGGTGCGTGTGCCTAAGATGGCCGTCGTGCTCAGTGCCGCTCTCCTCTCTGGTCTGTGCTCCAGCTTCAATCTGCGCTTCTCACAGGTTTGCAGGCTGATGCATTCAGGGACTGGGGGAAACGTGGGTGGCTTTGAGTAGGCTCCCTCCAGAGGCTATCCCCGGCATGTAGTGGCAGTGACGTATGACCCAATCCAAACAGACATATTGGCTTGCAGTGGATAGAATGAGGGAGACTTTAAGGAGAGGAACTTAGGTAAATAATGTCTGACTATTATTAGGCTATTATTATTCCCTCTTAGGTGTAATTGCATAGGCCACATTTGCTACATTGTATGGAAACAATAGCAACCATGGACTAAATAAGGGCACTATATTAATCGAGAATATAATAACCCTGTTACATTTGATTTAATAGAGAGGCTGCGTTCTTCAGAGGTCTGTGGCAGAAGCCTATTTTAGTAGCGAAAAACAATTAGACTATAATAGAAAGTGCAGTTTGGCTTTAGCAGTGACAGTAGGCCTGTATCGCTGGGTCTAAATTACCCTAGTTATACTGAAGTGCCTTAAATGCAAAAATAACAACACTTCAAGTTAAGCATTTTGTATGTATCTTCTTTCATTCCTTCAACACTTTATTCAGAGCTATAATACAAACAGACGCTCCAAATTCTGACACCAACACTGGCACTTGAAAGCAGCGTGTGTCCAACGATGGCTCGTGACGTCAATAGTGTTATTGTGGGAGCGCGCGCGCACAGCTCGTGCAGACTGGGGGGTATTTCTGAGACGGGGGCGAGGCTGGGGCTGACATGCTGCTGCTGAGGCTGAGGGAAGAGCTGTTCACCCATCTCTAATGTGAGGCGGATTGACATGCGTAATGTTGGACTGTGGTTTGAACTGAGATGGACCATTAATAAACAATTTTTATATGAGGTCATTTACAGCTGGGCTGTCACCTTCTAAATTACAGTCATTTACCTTCTCATTGTGGCCCCAGGGACATTACATTGCATTGGCCACACTGCAATGATAATAATCCGTGCATAGCTTTCAGCTTTATTTGGTTTGTCTCTTTGGTGATTACAATAGTAAATGTGGGCACTGTAGAAATCTGCATAATTTGGCTAAATAAAGCAACTTGTGCAACTGGGAATGAAAGTACAACAAAACAAAGAAAGTATTCTATTGAACACTTAGTAACTGTTCATTTAATCGTTCAACACTCTGACTCATCTATAGGTAATTTCTGAGTTAGATTCAGAACATTTAATTTAAGATATAAAGTAATAATTAAAATAGGAAATTGATTCATCACTCTCTCTGCAGAGTGCACCACAACAATAACAGATGCGTAGCGGTGTAGTGAGGCTGTGCATTCTAAGCAGACAGCAGGTTGTTATAATCAGGCCTCACCCGGATAGCAGCGCCCTGAAGGGAGCACGGCTGGTTGTGTCTGCATCATGTTTTTTGCATAACCACGAGTCAGCCTTGATATGGTGATCCCACTGCTTCACTATCAGCAGAGTAAAATGCATCCAGGTCACACTGTGTGGAGGCAAGAGGAGGAACATTGAGAAGAAGACTCCCAATAATAGCATTTATTTTCATAACAGGTAGAGGCGAGGAGAAAATTCAGTTTGTCGATTGGACAAAAGTTAGTTTGGTTGAAGACGTTTCGCAGCTCATCCAAGCTGCTTCTTCAGTTCTGGTCAGATGCTGGTGGACACTTCCTTATATCTGCAGGGAGGAGCTAACTAACTGAAACTAACACACCTACTTGTTTACAGTTTCAGTTTGTTAGTTCGGCCTATTGACCTGTACAGGGTGTGGGGTCTAATTAGCAGAACAATTCATGGCCATAATGGAGTTTCACACCTCTGGACCTGACCTAGCTACACCTACTGTTCTCTTGTTTGTTTTGATTTAGTTTTGAGGATGGAGTTGTAAATAGGAGATAGATGGTGTCTGAGGCCTCCATTTCTGTTTAGAGAAGGATTCTCTTTATAACAAACTCCATGGTATGGTATACCCAGTGATGGTAAGTATACACTGAAAATGTAATTAGTTACAGAATACTGAATATCTGTATTAAAATGTATTCTCATGCATGGTCCAGTTAGAGTAGTGTATTTTGAATACTTAGAATATTTTTACATCAATTTACTTTATACTATAGAGTAAAAACATGACATACAATTACAAACACCTTTATTTTTGTTGTTATGTCTAATTAGAGACAAAAAAGTCACCCATGCACACACTGCAAGAGCTGTGAGTACAGTTCAAAGCCAAAATTGCATGATGGAGTACCATTATGTATTTCTTTTAATTTAGGAAAGTAACTGTAACCTGTGGTAACAGTAACCTAGTTATCACTAACATACAAATATATCATAAAACAAAGTTTTAATTTAGATTATTTTTGTAATTTTGTTAATCTGGGCCTATTTGAGATCCATTGTCCAATATCCTGAATTAATCTGACGTCTAACTGGTGGCTGGTTGGCATCCCAGCAACTCATCCCACAATGTGTTCCAGTGCTGAGTTGTGAAATGCATGACTTTGAATTAAATTTAGCACAGTATATTGTGGCTACTAAAAGCCTCTTACCTCAGACTTACTGTTGCAGTCATTAACTACAAACCACACTGTATGGCTGCACTTACAGTATGTATGCCACAATGAAGTGACCAGTCTATAAACAGTGAGAGTATCCAAGCTGTAGCTGATCTCAAATACAATGTCTGTTTGTTCCCCTTTGGCAGGACATGAAGTGAATGGTGAAAGCCCCTAACACCACCAGCTGAAGTCTATGGGACGGAACTGTCATTATCCCTTGAATGGGACACAAAAACAGGTCCAAGACGATTCAACGAAGAGGTGAGAGACGTCACAGGACAATTAGAAGGGTGTTACTTCCACTGGAGCATTCTTCCCTGCTCTGAGTGGCAGATGTCTTCAGTAGTTTTACAAGCTGGTCCCATTGTACAGATGTGCTAAAAATTTATGGGCTATAGATGTTCGCAGGTGTTTTGTTTTCAGTTTGTTTAGCTGTCAGTGTTAACACTTTCTCGCAAGGTTTTGGGGTATTATACACTATTTATTCTTTATTTATAATTCATTCACTTTTTAGTATATGCAGCATATTTTATAGCATGTCCAAGTTTATTTCTTTTCTGAAAAGCAACCGGAATGGTTACGGTGTCCCCTCTGCTTATTGGCTAAATAACTCAAAATTCAGCATACAAGAATTCATTGTAATTGTAAATGTACCAGACTTCTAATTGTTATTAAAAAAATATATATTTTATTTGAACATTTTACATCTTAAAGGTGCACTGTGTAACTTTTCTGGTGGAGGGGCTTTGCTCACTATGTGTCTCCATGGAAATGTTATTGCTTTGCATGGAATGTACCACAATATGTTATTAGATTTGGTCATTTACATGAAAACAAGCATGTGACACCACCACGCTAAGTTACAGGCCAGATCTATGGAAAGGTGACTCACAGTAAGAATGCATGTATTTCAAGGTGAACAATAAAAGCAACTTTAACTGAATGAATGCAAGACGAATACTTTTAATGGCGAACTGTGGAATCTTCCAGACAAAGCAATAACATCATGACAGAGACAAGCAGGTGGCGGAGCCTTCCCCCAGAAAGTTACACAGTTACACAGCACAGCACAGTTACACAGCATCTTTAAGAAAAAAATCCTTTCTATTTATTCTTACATTATACAACACACTCAAATAAAAAGCATGCACAAATCACCAACCAAAATGGCAAGGAATCTGGAAATACTGAAAACTGTTGTGTCTAGTGAACACATTTGAAGACTTACAGAGGATTTTGTGAGCTTACTCATGTAACTTCCCACCTGCCCAGCTCCTTTCTCAGCAGCCACCCACAGATGGGGCTGGGAGCAGACAAGGTGGGGGTGCGGGACTGTGATTTTGGGACTTTCTCTGGGGGCTCCTGCAGTCTGTGGGTGGCTGCACCAGACGGACCATGACGAGGGGACATTATGCTAAATTAACATGACTGACCACTGCTCAAGACGCACTCTTAATCAACCCCTATTTCCCCTATATGTCTAGACTAAAATTGCTTCCTTATCTTACACAGTTGGATTTAAGATCTTTGTTAGCTGCAAATTGCATCTTAGGAAATGACCTTATTCTTAATAGCCCACTTCTTTTGATTTTGTCCCTTTCTCATTTATCTAACGAGGAAAAGCACACCATTTGAAACCTGTCTTATAAATCTCGTAAGCCCCAATTTTCTATAGACATTTGTGCTGAAAGATTAATTTTACAGAGGGCCAGCTTCAATCTTTTTCGCCTGGCTGCTGCTGTCTGCGCTCATGAATACATATTTTAGAATCCTTTGGCGACTAGAGGGAAATTAAATCTCTTTTCAGAACTTGTGGATGCTATCAGACCATTTTAAACTGGGCGGTTGGTCTGTGTGCATTTGGCTATATTCACAAATGAACCGTGAGTGGTGAAGTCAGCAGTGGCGCACGGTTTAGCCGGTTTAAAACTTGATTGATTTCCTTACTCTTAACTTGCTCTAACTCATCCAACTCCCTCCCTCCTGTAGTTTCTAGAAATGTTAAATCTTCACAATGCAGCTTGCATACTTACTCATTGTGATATGATTCCTTATTTTGAAAAGCTTAACTCATTTGTCTTAATTAGTGCTTCCTGACAATTTCCGCAGGTTAACCGCACAAGACAAGAATTTATCATTTTGAGACTGTTTTAAAGCTGTGTCCATAATGAATAATGAAATGACTCATCTATCTAACTCTCAATGTTATCTTTACGTGACTAAAGTTAGCACCATTCAAGGAATTGGAATTGGACCGACACAGGAAGTGAAGCAAGTTCCCCACTTTCTACAAGGTTAGGTGTTACATTTCTTCTTGAATTCATACATATTGTAAGATACCTCGCCTACAGTCTGTTCAGTCAAATTAGAAGATGGCGCAGGAATGACATCTGACTTTAAAAACTTAAAGGGGCAGTCCGGGATTTTGGACATA